TTCTTCAAGAATTTTATAAAAAAAATATTATTGTTTTCTGGCAAGATTTTTAATTTCTTTAAGATTTTTAAAATTTATATATATTCTTCATCAGCGCCTCATTTTCCGACGGCCGTATCCGCCGGAAACTCTGTTTTCCGTCGAATTTGACATTTTATTTTAAAATTATCTTAAAAAGCTTTTTAAAACGTTCAGAAATATTATATAAACTTATTACAACACTTTTAAAATACATAAATTTTTTGCTCCTATAAACTTAAGTGCTACAAAAGTCGTCTATTAAAATACTTAGACATTTTAGTGTCCAATAAACCTGATTTTATTATAATGGATAATAATCTATTATAATTACAAATCTTTTTACGGTTGCAATACACAAAAATCAACCAAAAAACAAGGTAACACTTACGAAAAGGCGTTACACGTACGTATAAACAAAAGAGGTGAATCACCGGTTCGAGTCCTGCAAAAGTGGATTTTCCTGACCGTTAGTCAAGGTGTTCATAAGCTGATCCGGATACCCACGGTTAAAAAAAGCAAATCACGGCTGCGACATCCTTCGACGAACTAGAGAGAAGCACTAGTACCAGAACTTGTAACTATATAGATCCTAAACGACGGATATGCACTCACTTCACCGGTTGATGAAGTAATTTCGGAGCCGGTTGCGAATCTAGCAAAGGACGCTGGAGGTTCCGATGGTGTAGGAAGGTTCACGGACCATTGACCTTCGAGCATGAAAACAACCATCGACATTGTCGGGCGGTCTTGAGGGTCTTCTTGTACGCATAATAACGCAATGTTAATCCATCTAAGAATTTCGGTTAACGGAGAGTTTTGAATCAAGACGTGATCGATCAACTCTTCGCCTTTGTTCGCTTTCCATAAATGATGCACCTTCAATAATCACATGGATTAAGAGATCGATACGTTAACTTTATATATATGAACGAAGAGAGGTTGAATGGCTTACTGTCGAGAGGAAGTTTTGGGGTCGATCTTGGTAATAGAATCGGTTGTTTCGTTGTCCGGTAACGATTTCTAACAACAATACGCCAAAACTGTAGACGTCAGATTTTGTCGAGAACGATCCTTCCATCGCGTACTCCGGTGCCATGTATCCACTGCCATGAACTCGTAGATGAGAATCCGTTCGCTTCCTTGTATGCAGTAACCTAGAAGTCGAACTAGATTCTTGTGTTGAAGTTTTATGATCAACTCTACCTCCGTCTTGAATTCGACGAGACCTTGCCCTGAGTTTTTATATTGTCGTTTTACGGCTATTTCTTTTCCATCTTGTAGTTTACCCTTCGGAAAAATTGAAAATTTTAACAAATGAAAACGAATTCAAGCGAAAAACGTTGTGAAAAATTGTCGATTACCCAATAAACAAGGCCAAAACCGCCTTCTCCGAGCTTTTTTTCAATCGAAAAATTGTTCGTAGCAACTTGTGTAGCACTTAGAGTGAAAGAATGCATTTCACCTGTGTCGTTATCTTCGTTTTCGTGCTTACTTCGTTCATGGGAGCCGTCGCTAAACCCCACTTGAAACTCGGGTACCAATGGACCTATTTTCGAAAATAATCGTCAGAAACATCACTATCGACGCTATAATCCGTTGCTAAATCCCGTACTCATTTCGCCTACCGGCTTTTGCAACACCATGTGGTGTCGCTTGAACCCGTATTTAGTCACTAACAAAAACAATCAATCATTCGATCGACAATAAAATGATACGTTGTGTTAACCTTTTTGCTTCGGTTTCCGGCATTGTCGGGAAATAAAGAAGATCAGTACCGCGATTATAGCGACAGCTGCTGATATTGGACCGTTTAACAACCTGTCACAAAAAAATGCATAAGCGACGGTTTTATTTGTTACGAAAAAGGGCTAAAAACCACTCGCCCTAATGTGGCGAAGACGGATACCATGTCGAACCCAAGAAATTGTATATCTGGTATCGAATAACGCAACAAGTCTTGTAAACTCGAGCTCCCAAACTTCTATCGAGACGTCGAATCTCGACGGTGGCTCTAGCCAAGCATTCGTCGCATTCGGTCTCCGATAAACCGGGAGTACACTGCATGTACCCGTAGATAGTCTGGTATCCGGGTATCGCAATGGCATCGGAAGCGTATTTTCGGAGCTCTCCGCCACAAGCGGCTTCCGGTCTCAACCTTCCAAGCAATTCCTCCACCGTCTGATTCCATTGATCATATCTAGAATCCAAAACTTTATTCGGATTCGAGCTGCTATGAGTCGTCGCAACATCATCTCCGTAACATGTTGATCGATTCGAGTACGTTAAGAAACAAGCACCGTACAATCCGGTAGAGTCGATTTGGTTCTGACAAACATCTCGTAACCGGCGAGTAGAGTCGTCGACGCTTGTACGGCATTTTTCCGGCGTGATGTCGCCACGGCAAAGCGCGGCGGCGTTAGCTTGTCCCGATGTCGATTTGTAGAACCCAAAGCCGCTGTTTCTTTTGGTAAAGGTGTTTAGCAAGTCTTCAAGGTCTCGTTGGTAGCCGGGGTTGTTGTCGGTGTAGTTGCCGGAGCCACCACAGTATTCTCCCCAGAAATCAGCGCCCTGAGCGGTGGTGCGATTAAGATTGCAGATTAAGATTGAAGAAAGAAACAAAACCCAGAAGGGAAAATCCATTTCTGTTGATCGTTCACTAAGCGATTTGTGGTTTGATGAGGTTAAAAATGGAGTTTGAGAGCGTTGACAGAAGTCTGTTGATTTGACTTTTGGTTGCACCAGAGAGAGAATTGACTTTTATGGTAGCATGCGATTGTCACGTCATGATATGCAAAAATCCGTGTTCATAATTTAAATTATAATAAAAAATTCATAAAAAAGTAACGTATTTTAATTTAGATAACGTATTTATAAAACTTTCATTTCGATACTTAAGATATAAAGTTTTAAATATTTAATTACTTAGGTAACTGATTGAAGCATTAACCGGTTATTATGTTAATATGGCGAGTGATGTGGTATCCAACTCAGTATTATTTGCTAACATAGTACATAGGATTTTTACCGAGTAGTTGCACCTATAAGATGGTTAAAAAACCTGTAAAGTCGTCGGATATGTTTTTTGCCGAATTCCACTGTTGCTTGGGATTTTTTTAAAGTTTTTTTTTGGTTGATTTTTAAGTTTTTTAATGGATTTCGAGAGGTTTTTTCCCTTTTTTGTTTGATATTCATTGTGTTTTCTAATATCCCGGAGCAACCCATAAAGTTTAGCAGGTACACCTTTTATACCTAGAAAATTCTACTTGCAAAACTTGGTTGAATGGGTGCACGGGACCCTGCTCGGCCCTTCGTAGATCCTCCCCAAGAATGAGTTTCCGCTAGAATAAATAATAGCGCAAATTACGGATTTGGTGATGTGGTTCTTGGATTTTTTTCGGTTTTGTCCGTACAATTTATTTATTAACCCTTTATAGCCCGTATGCATTTTTGCTTGGTTTTGATCTCGTCTATTAACGGTTGTGGACTTGCGAATCTTTTTACGGGTCCATAAGATATAACTAAAAGAAACAGGATCAAAAGCTTCATGTCATCATATGTCATCCTTCAAGTAGCTAACGAGAAGTAGTAGTACTGGAACTCGTTAGATCGATCTCGATCATAGGATGCACACTTGCATCACCGGTTGTCCAAGTTTGCTCAGAGAAGGCCACAAATCTAGCAAATGACGTTGGCAGTTCTTATGGCACGGGAAGGTTTGTGGACCGTTGACCTTCGAGCATGAAACTAAACAATTGTTGACATTGTTGGGCGGTCTTGTGGACCACTGACCGGTTTAGTCACTTGTTATCAAACCGTTCGGTTTGAAAATTTTCTAAACCGCTATTACCGGACTGCAAACACCCCTAACTCTGATCATCTTCCCGAGGTAACACAAAAACTGCAACCATCGATATTTAACATAGACATACACACACTTCTCTGAACGCACACCCATTGTTCATCCACAACCTGAGGCATAGACAATATGGGGCAGGCTAATAAGCGTTTATCAAAGTCATATTACAATACGTTATCGGATTAACATGGTAAGGAACGAGAAACTTACCTGGTAAGTGTAACGATAAGGACCGAGAGTTTTGCCTGATAAGTAAAGTGATGACTCTTACCCAGTTAATGATTACCGGATAAATTGTTGCATACTATGTCGTTTTAATGGACTAAATTTTTACCCGATAAGGTAAATAATAGTTTTGAATCTTATCGGTAAGCGTTTACCAGGTAAGTGTTTGGGTAAACGGCCCCTTAATCTCAAGCGAAAAGACGTTTTTAATGACCCATAATCATTCTTAATTTGTTTAGTGTTTGTTTTTTATATGTATCTGCAGTCTAAAAGGTTGTTTGTTTACCTCTTAATAGTTTCATTAAGAAGTAATATTTAAATCATTAAGAGGTGAATCTTGTTTGGCAAAAAAAAAAAAATATGTCTTTTAACGGTTTTAAATCTCTAAATGCTTTTGTATAATGGGTCTCCCTTAATCATTCAACGTCTTATTTTCATTGTAAACAATTACCAAACAGCTATATTTCATTTTGCACTATATCATGAGAGCCTCTTAATCATTCTGACTGTTTAATCATTCTGCACCAAACCATTCAGCAACTGTCGAACAGCCCCTAACTAATTTTTTTTTTTTGTTTCGAGTAGATTGGTTAATGAAAAAACGGATTTGCCGATACTTATGGCTATAAAAAAGAACTTTTGCAAAGCTTATTTGTTGATGTGAGATGGAAGTTTCCATCAATTTCTATACTGTCTTGAAAATAGATTGAAAGTTTGTTTCGAACAATAATTTATTCAGATATGTCATTGATAAAAAAAAAGCAAGTGGTCATCTGACTTGTATAGCGGGTTGGATATCCAGGTTAATAAAAAAAATTAGATATTATTATAAAAAATTATCAGTATAATACCGATTACAATATAAATTATGTTGTTTTTTCTTATTAAATAGATTTACAAACAAACCAAAACATAAACAATCCCATTTAATTTACATATTTAAAGCCTTGATCTTCATGCAATCCATTGCAACACAAGAAATGCCACAAAAGTGAATATAACATGTCTTTGGTTCAATCCTTCTCCACCTTCCATAAAATAATCAAATAATTAGTTTACTAAAAGTTATAAAATAGCTTCATAATTTAACATACCAAACACTTATCTGATAAGCGTTTATCGGTAAATTTAACACTATCATTTATTTACCAGGTAAGATCCATGAAAACGATATCATACACAACAATTTACCCGGTAAGCGCTTACCGTGGTAAGAGTCGTATCCCTCACTTATCGGGTAAGACTCTTGGTCTTTGTCTCGTTCTTACCGGGTAAGATTTTTGGTCCTTACCATATTCATCCGGTAAGATAATGAGACTTGGTGTTCACTTACCCGAGTAAGCGTTTGGCAAACAGCCCCTAAATTATATTTATGGTCCCTCACTCACTATTTCTCCCCCTCACCACACACACATTCAAAGAGACCTTTGTCCTTCCTTGATTTTTTGCAATCTCTAATGGATGTCAAATCGTCGTCCCTAACTACATGTTTGCTCCTTCTCGACTTTCTTCCATGTGTAAAAAATAAAAAAGAAGAGGAAAGTACCAAAATACCCCTTGAGTTAACTGGGTTAACAAAGTCTATTAGAGGGAAGGACTTGGAGTGTACGTTTTTGCATACCACAGGGACGGGAAGTGTACTAAACGCATTTGAGGGACCGTAATAGGGAAAACCAACAAAACACAGGACCAAGAATGTAATTTACTTTATATAATATAAAACATGTACCTGAAGCGTTTGGAGCTGGAGTCAAGCTTGAACTGTTGCCATAAAATCGAACATCATCATACCACATACCGCAACTCACTCCTAACATTTCCCATTTTGTTTGATTCATCACATATGGTTTATAAGTCACAAGAAGCTCTTCTAAGCACTTTCTACAATCTGACCTGCTCACATCTGGACTACACTGACCCAACCCATACCTCTCCCTATTTTTTTCAACGTCAGTAACACTTGTCTGAAACATCATAGGTTGATTAGGCACACTATTTCCTAACATTTCCATCATCACAAACCCTCTTGAAAACACCAAAGGATCATCGAGTCCTTTGCTACCATAGCTTGAGGATGACGAGTGACTCCAAACTTCACCAAAGAAACTCTCATTTGAGAACCTTAGACTACACAAACTAGACGAAGTCGCAAACCATTTGCTTTCAGGACATTCTCGTAAGGGGATACTAATGGACTTGTTCAAACAGTCAAAACAAGCGGTAGGAGAAACATCAGCTCGACACCATCCAAGGCCATGAACTCGATTCGTACCATTCCCAACACTAGCATTCGAGAAACCACCTTGGAGAGGCGCGTTTTTTGCTACAAAATCCAAAACGGTTCTGAGGTTTGCTTTGTAGATGGTATCTATAGTTGAATTTTGAGCTCGTACACATTCAGAATCCAGATGGACAACACCGTTCACGTAACCAAAACCCCCAATGATAAACCACATCGTCCATAGCAAAAAGTTGCCCATTTTTTCGATCTATTTTCTTGTCTTGACTCTTTGGTTTATATAAACTCCATTTATGGGTTAATTAATTGTAAACCATACGTGTTAAACTCAATTATGAAAGTCAAACCTAGTTTTGGATTTGGTCAAAAGGCCGGTTTTCAAACCCCAAGAACTGCAAATAGTCAAAGGGATTTTATAATACAACCATTCTTCTTGACGTTTTATATGAAAATAAATGGAAGGGTAAAAAGGTATTATAATATTATGAAATTTGTTTTAATTTTTGTGTATAAATAATATTATGAACAGAGCGATTAATGTGGACATGATCATCGTTGGTTTTTAATTATCATAACATTATTATATCGCTATCACAACAAAAATCACATAATTATTAGATGATTATCACATCAAAATCATATCATAAAAAGTCTTCAACTTATTAAATCGTTATCACATTATTATCACAGTAAAATCAGATATTTATTACAACGTTATCGACAACGGATAATAAAAAGTCTCTGATGATAATAACAGAATCTAAGAGATAAGGATAAATCTATGATAATGGAAAATTATGAATAAATACTAATTAATTTTCATTTTTATTATACATTAGTTCATTTGGAGGCCCGGAAGTATTCTCGCATTTTCATAAAAACAAGGGTGTTCTCATTTGAACTCTTCTCTTCCAAAGCGTAAAATTCTCATTCCAAACCATAAGGGTGGTGTCTGATTAGTTTGAACTTGGCTCCAAAGATCAAAAGTACTAGAAGGTCTCAGGTTCAAATCCAAGGATGAATAAAGCCCTTGTGGCCACGGAGGTTCAAATGCGGTGACTCCGGACTATCTGCAAAGCAGATGGTCGTCCTGGAATTAGTGGGCTCGCATAGTGGATTGAATATCCAAGTTAATCAATAAAAAAAATTCTCATTCCAGGTAAACTAGAGAGAATGAAAATTGATTTCATGTAATTTCATTTTCATTCCCTTACCTAATCAAGTTACCAGTATAACTTCCATCAATTTATGCACAAGATGGAGGTTTCTTCAGGAATCTCATTTTTATTGAGAACCGAAAAACAATTCATCATGAATCTTACGTAATGATGAATGTCACGTCCATATTCCTTATGAAGTGTTGGGTTCACGTGAGATCAGCCTGTTTTCGTGAGACCATTTTTTTACACTTGAAACTTTATAGCAAAACGTTATGAAATAATAAAAAAAGTCAAACATTCACAGCAAAAACATTGTGAAGGTTGCCTTCACACTGCTTTACTGTGAAGTTTCAAATGTAAAAAATAATCTTATAAATCTCACAAAAATAAATTGATCTTACAGATCTCAAGTTCTCCGATGAATATATTCCAATGGTTTTAAGACATAGAATTTTGTGTCCGGATTATATTATATTACTAATAAATTTAATAAATAAATAAATTCAAATTATTTTGTAAGTCACCTACAACATACTCGATCTTTTAAATTATTTTATTAAAAAAATGTTAAGCATTTATTACGTTAAAATTAGGTACATAGGACGCTCCCGATTTTTAAACATCTTAATAGACCGTTTTATAAAACTTAATTTATAAGATCAAAATATAAAACGTCATATATAAAGGTGTTGTAATAAGTTTATATGACGGTTTTGGACGTCTTAACAAGTTTTTTAAGACATTTTTAATATGAAACGTCGCATTAGCAACTTTAAGGATACTTTCTCAAAAGTGTCCTATAAACTCAATTTTTTGTAGGACATTTGTTCTTATAGGACAGTTTTTTAAATAGTGTCATATAAAGTTGTTAATGGAATGCTTTATATTAAAAGTGTCCTAAAAACTTATTACAACGTCAAAAACGTCATAATAAACTTATTACATCGTCTTTAGATAGAACACTTTATTTTTTGGTCATATAAACTAAGTCCTATAAAGAGGTCTATTAAGACGTTTAAAAATTGAGAGCGTTCTATAAACCCGATTTTATTATAATGATTATTATAATAAAAATCTTCCTAATTCGATAAGATATTTAATCCGTTCATTTTGTCATCTATATTAAAAAATAGAACATTGGTCGTATTAAACAACTTTAAAAACAAAATCATCGTACTGATCAAGTTTTGGACAAAAATGTCTATTTATTAGTTTTTTTTTTTAAATGTCAACGGTCAGATTGTCCTTTAACATGTTAAATGTGGGGTTCCTGAAATTTCGGGGACCAAATTTACATGTGTTTAGGTTTCTTATCGACATGTGTAAGACTATAGTCGAAATTATTTAGGTTCAAACCATTACTTATTTGGTTTTAGGTTCAAAATCATTAATGGTTTAGGTTTAGTTTCAGATTGTTAATCGTTTTAGGTTTAGCTCATTTTTATTCTTAACATATATATTATGTCATCTCATTTATGCAATGTAATCAAAAAATTTGAATGTAGCAGGGCCTCAGAAAGACTGGAACGTCCCTGTGACAACGGTTATTTCGACAAACAAGAATAATTAAGATACACCTCATGAGCCCTTTTCGTTTTTCTACTCCATAACAGACACAAATACCATCGTGAGAAGAAAACAAGGGAAAGCGTCGGTCACTGAAATATATAATCGAACACGTATTTGTAATCATATCGATAGGACGAAGAGAGTGTTGGGATTTCGATACCATACGGTTCCAAATCAAAGAAAGTGGCAAACTGTATTTGACACAAATGATAGGTGATGTGATCGATGTCAAACCAACAACTGAATGTGGAATGAATCAGATTGAATTATGATGTTGAACAAACTGAACGTGTAAAACACAAAATTAAAGACTAAGATCGTGTACGGTCGTGCTTCTAGGTTTTAGGCGTTATATGAAATCAATTTTGTTACAGCACGATCTGTCTAAAAGTGTTACAATAAGTTTATATAAGACGTTTGTTGGCATTGTAACAAGTTTTTTAGAACCGTTTCAATGACCCATAGAGCTAAAACAATGAAAAGACAGTTGAAAACGGACACACCAGAATCACTAGACGTAATTCACCAGGGGGAAGATTGGTGTTAACGATCTCAGTTCTCTGACGAGAGTTTCGAAAAGGGTCGATTAATCACACACACATAATTACCGACATCGCATTAAAAATAGTTACATGAAGAAACGCATGATAAACAGATATATAAATTGAAAATCGACATTACACTTGTAGAAAAATGTGTTAACCCGTATCATATGATCACTCGACAACGTTATTGCTTAAAAATATACTTCATATTTCACACGTTGAGGGACTATGCTCATATCGAGTTAGAGCACGTGAAGGAATCACGTCATGAGAAATACCGACATCAGAATGTCGATAACACGATCTCGTAGTTTAATACCTTCGTTTTATTGTAATAATCGCAATACGACCAATTTTATCGCACTCTGATTTATAATATAAAGAGTAAATTACGATTTTAGTCTCTAAGATTTGTTAATAATTTCAATTTCCATCTCTGTAGTCTAAAAATTGTCATTTTCATCTTCATGGTTTGTGATTTATTGCTATTTTCATCCCTGACCTAATTGCTACCTTCAAGTAGGAGAGACCAAAACAATAAATGTAAACCACAAGGACTGAAACAACAATAAATTGTAAATAATAATAACGAACATAGCAATGAATTATAAACTATAAGGATGAAAACCGCAATTTTTAGTAAACCACAAGGACTAAAAACGTAATTTACTCTAATATAAAGTTTGATTTCTGGTTAACTATACCAACACTACTACATTGCGTTGACCAAAAAAAAGTCAAACACATTGTGCAAAAATTCCATGAGGTCAAAATTTGGATAATATGTATCAAGAAGTCAAATTACACCAAATTCATCAATAGCTTCAAGATTAGAATACAAATAACTCCTTTCCCATCTGCACAAATTCGAACGATTTCGTCTACGCTAGCGGCGATCGGAGAACGTGATCTTTCGAGGTATCGACGGCAGTCGGAGTCGCGAACGGCCACATCGGAACTCCTTGGAATCCCATGATCGGCATGAACTTGCCGCCAACGGCTGGCGGCATTTGCATCACGGGATGAGCGGGAGGATAAAAGGCGGTCGGAGGGGCACAACATGCTTTCAGTTGCTGTTCGAGTCTTTCTTTGTCCGCCTTTAGCTTTTGTTTCTCGTCTCTAAGCTCATTCTTCTCGACCTGCCATATACGGAAAGTTTTTTTTCTTATTAGCCTAAACGACGAGAAATTTCCAACAAAAAAGTCTCGACTTTCTTGCGAACGATGGTCATGAAGGTTACAGGTCTCGGGTTTACCTTCAACTCGTTGATTTTAACGACCATGTCTTGAGAGGAGTCCTTAAGTTGGGAGGCTTCGTTTCTCAACTGAACAACCATTCGGATCGCATCCGTCAAGATAACAGTCTTATCCGTCTTGTATGACCTTCCAGGATCCAGTATTTCGTTCAGTTCTTGAAACCTTTTCGGACAACGGTCAAAATTCAAAAGGTTAATACGTCTATATACGGAAAGTACATACACCATCCGTCCAAAATAATTGTCCACATTTCTATTTTAGTTTGTCCTAAAATAAGTGTCCACTGTAAAAAAAACATCTCTAAAACTGTGCGTCTTTTTCATTGTCAACATTTATTTTGGGACGGAGGGATTTTTCAACACGGAACAAATAAAAAAACCAGAGCATGCCTCTCGTTTAGCTTATCCCTCCGCTTCTTCTCTCGGCATGCTTTCGAATCAGAGCTCGATCCGGGATTCGGCCTACAACAAAAAAGTTATCGTATGTAATAAACCAAACAAACCCAGTAAGCGCCATATACGGAAATTAAATTAAAGGAGAGCAAAAGGGATTCGAACTTGTAACGTGCAATGACACTGTCAGTAGGCTGCAACAATACCCGATATGTAATGATGCGTGGAAAGCGAGAAAGTTCGGAAAGACGAAAGTAATACGTACCTCTTTCTCGACTCATCCTCCTTGGTGGTATTTGATCTCCCGACTGAATCCACAAACCCGTTACTACAAAAGTAAATCAAAATGCACGCGATTACTTCGAGTAATCAAAAGTAAATCATGATCAAGATTCATAAGCAAGGCTTTGTTGCAAGAAAGCTGATTTTTAAGGGGTAAATTACCTAACTGTCCCTAACCGTAGGAGCAATCAAAAAAACCAGATGGACGGCAAAAACCGGTCGGACCAAACCAAACAGGACCGTTTTTGGCAGTTTGACAATCCGGTCCGATCTACGGTTTGAGCGGTTTTTTTGACGGTCTAGACCGACCGAACAGCTTTTGTATATAAAGATATATATGGTACATTTGGACTCATAATCTAATTCGAAATGATCATCATGTTCTGATTCGAGGATACGTAATAATCACTTTGAAAACGCACATTGAAACACCCTCCTTAATCGAGTAAGTCTATGATTCGGGTTTCCATCGTCACAATCTCAAAACTTCCCCACACGTTCATCGTCAAATTTATATGTTACTCGATTACACAACCGACCTCCTGTTTTTTTCATTTTGGTGGGTCCCACTAGATTCTCCGTCTATTGCAACAAACAAATTCACATCTCCGAATCTAAATCCACTTGCTAACGTATTACAACGACAACATATATATCCCAAACCATACCTCAAGAAAATATAGAAGCGAAATCAAGAATCAATCAACATCCCCTCTTGATGCACAAACCTAATCCTAACGAAAACGCAAAACGATCATATGAAAACAAGATGGTTTCGTTAAATGTGGTTTGCATATATCCATCGACACCAACACTCAATTTAGTTGGGACTCGTACCCTAACCAAACTAACCCAGTATATCCCATTCGGAACTGGAATATGGGGTTGGGATGTACAGACCCGACCCCTACTCCAAAACGTAGAGCGGTTGTTTCAGTGCTTTTGAAGAAGTGGGACTCGCGCACTATAATCTATCAAAGATGGAACCCCGGTTCAAAACGGTCTGCTCTAGTAAAAACTTAGAAATACCCTACAGGATCGTTTTTTGCAAAACAAACTTCAAGAGGAGATCATCGAGCTAAATACCCGAACGTCCAAAATCTCATCTTGCGTTTCAATAATCAATACTTGCTCGGGCGAGCCTTCTAATCTCCAACCGTGATATGTACTTACATCAATAAACACTTTAGGGGCTGTCTGGCAGTTGCTGAATAGTTTAGTGCATAATGATTAAGTGATCAGAATGATTAACAGGATCTTATGATATAGTGCAAAATGAAATGTAATAGTTTGGTAATTGTTTACAATGAAATTAGGGCGTTAATGATTAAGGAAGGCCCAAGATACAAAATTCTCAGAGGGTTTAAGAACCATTAAGAAACAGACCTTTTTTACCGAACAAGATTCACCTCTTAACGATTCAGAGGTTGTCTCTTAATGAAACTATTAAGAACTAAACAAACAAGCCACATGATTATTTATTCTTTTTCTATAACCTGACACTACAACAAAACCAATTTCATATGAAGTCAAAAATGGCCAAGTATCCTAATAAACTGCTTTATAAACCAACAACTGTGTATCCTTTGTAAAAGCGTTGCAACAAGTTTATAGAATATTTGTTAATATTTTAACAGATACTTTAGGACATTTTTGAAATAAAACGTCATATTACTCTTTTATATGATATTATTTGAAAAAATATATTTTGAAAAAATATATTATAAAAAACTATTTACATCATGTAAAAAATTAATAAGACATTTTATTACAAAAATATCTAAGACGTTCAAAAGTATCATATAAACTATTGCAATGCATTTTGTTATTCAGAATTGTTTGGCAAGTACAAAAAACTAATCAAAATTGACTCATAAAAGTCAAAATTGAACCCTGATTTGGGATTAATGCAGAAGAACAATTAAAAACGCCCACAAGATCGTATATCATCAAATCAACCGATACCAAATTGAAATCGCCATGATCGAATTAAACAAACTGACCTAATTTCAGTTGAATCAGGGAATGGATCAGAGGACCAGTGGAAATCCGGTTCGAGCGACGGAAGTTCACCTCCGGGAACCGGAAACTGTTCGATCAAACTGAAATCGAAAAAACAATTCGAACCGTCGTCCTCCGCCGGAGCAGCCATTTCCGGTTAAGTGTTATTTGTGCGGGAAATGGCCGGAGAAATCGGATGCTTAGATGAGAATTTTTGTGGGCTTTGCGTTGGGGAAACGTATTGGATTATTAATTGAAGAGATTTTTGGAGGGTATTATTCGGTGGGGTTGAAAAGCACATGAGAATTGGATTTGGGTCAAGAAAAGAAAGGGGGAAATCGTGGAGATTGGGGGATCGATGTCACTGGGTGGCGGGTGTTCGTCGTAGCGGTACACGTCGCCGTTAATTTCTTTTAATGACAAAATAGACCCCTGTAATATACTCTTGCTTCGTATAGGACCCTGTAAGTTTTAGAAATCACATTCAAGCCCCCCCTAAAGTTCACCAAAATCGTCATACAAAATTTTTAACGGTTATCGTTCTAGCTAGAGGTTCAAAGAAGAATACCTTCGTTATACGAAAACGTAAGAACTGAATGAAGGGACGTGTGACGTGGCGGAGAGATCAAGCCTCGAACTTTACGAGTTACGTCGAGGCTACAAAGTCAACTATGATATGTGACATCAAAATTATGTCAAAATCCATTATATATAACAATGATGATGAAACAAATATTTAATTAATACTTAATAAAATATTACATAAATTGGTGTTTGACAGTTGCTAAATGGTTTGTGTTAAAATGATTAAGAGACTCTTATGATATAGTGAAAAATGAAATATAATTGTTTGGTAATTGTTTACAATGAAATTATGGCGCTGAATGGTTAATGGAGACCCAGGATACAAAATCATTCAGATGGTTTTAGACCCATTAAGAGACATACTTTTTTTTTGTCAAACAAGATTCACCTCTTAACGATTCATAGGTTGCCTCTTAATGGAATTATTAAGAGGTAAACAAACAACCCTTTGAGGCAAATTGTGATGCATATAACTACATATTTTCTGTATGATTTCAGTTTCAAAACAAACGAAGAGAATAAATCTCACGCAAATATAAGATCCCTGATGATAGATTATACACAGACGTTGTCTTTAGCTTAATAGGTAGAGACGCAATAACAATATCACTCTCAGAAAATGTAACACAAAACTAGGCAAACTACAAGATATAGATATAGATATAGATATAGATGTAGATGTAGATGTAGATGTAGATGTAGATATAGATATAGATATAGATATAGATATATCAACATATTTTCACTTACCCAAAGGGTTTGTTATGCAAAACTAGGCACACTACAATATATAGCAACATGTTTTTCACGTAATTTCTAACTTAATCAGAAAACAAAACGAATACAGTAAATGTCACATAAAAGTTGGATCTGCAACGACTAGAGGTGCTCATGGGTTAGGTTGAACACATTTGGACAACTCAACTCAATGATTGCGGTTTGGAAAAATCTTAACTCAACCCAACCCAAAGTGCAATCCAACCCGTATGGGTTGGTCGTGTTGATACTTTGGTATATTAAAATATTCTTCTAACCTTCAATATGTTATTTTTTTACTTATAATTTCTTTTTCATCATCAACCATTTGATACAACTTATCCATATTTCTTACGTATATCACGTTCAGTTAATTTTCTCAATTTACATATATATGTTCACAGTTACTGAACATAGACGGACCTAGAGGGGTGGTTGGGTGGCACGTGCCACCGTATTGTTCCTCTGTGGTAAAGTAAAAAAAAAATTGGTTCGTGAAAGATACAACCGTTTTATTCTAGAAGGTGCAACTGTTTTATATAGTGCCACTGTATCCAAAAATTCTTGGGTCCGTCCCTGAATACTGAACATATATATGAATGAGTTATACAGAGATATGAATAGATTGAAAATATATGTATATAAAAAGCATACGTGATAGTGTAATTGTCTAATGTATATATTAATAGAAATTCAACAATCATATTAAATCCAAGAAACAAAAGGACATCAGGTTCTTCAGGTTGGGTTAGGTTCAAATAATAGTAACCCAATATCTACAGTTTGGAAATCTTACTACTCGATTAGACATCAGGTTGCTTCGGGTTGGGTTATTTCACATTGGGTTGATCGGGTTGGTCAGGGTTTTGAGCACCCCTAACAACGACCACGCATCTAGCACAAAAGGCAGAGTCGATGAGAGGTCGTTACCGTTTCAACAAAACACAAAAAAGAGCCAACCATTTCAACCAAAGATCAAGTTTTTACATAGAATGTGACCCTTGTGAAGGTCAATCTTGATCAAAATATTCCCAAAGGGAACAAACACTCAAATCTTGCAACTTGACAAGATTCTTTGGGTGACAACCACCCACAAAAGATGAAAAATTGAGTGAACACAAACCAATCCTTTTTCACATAAAGTTTTGCATAAACAAGAATCACAAAGGGCACAAAAAGGGTCCCCCAAAACACAAGTTGTATGGCATACAAATTGATGGAGAATGTACAACAAAACAAGCTCATGGTACAAACCCTGTTCAATAAGTAGAACGCATTAGCTGTCCGCTGTCAGGTAATGTACAACAAAACAAGCTCATGGTACAAGTTGCTTAGACCACAAACTCGGTGTTGGATTGAAGAAGGGTCCCAACCCTTTTCTTCATCTCATCAGGGTTGGCTCCCACCAGCCTCCCAACTACAACACAATCTTTCATCAACAAGAATGTTGGCATTGCCTTCACCTCATACTTTCTTGCTATTTCCTGTAGAGAAAGAAAGAAACCCACATCAAGAAAATCTTTGTGCTTGGATTCCCATCAATTTCCCACAAATATATGGAGTTTTCATGGCAACTTTTGCAAGATATGTGTGTATATAACGACATCTATCCACGTGTTTCGTGTTCGTTCGTTTGATTTACATCGGGTTTGTGATTTGGTAATACCATAATGGTCGAATAATAGAAGTGCCCAGAAAATGATACCGAAAGGATGTTGCTGTTTGAACCCTTTTTAGATCAAATCAACGCATGGAATATAAGAAACGACATTCGATGTTGATGCAAAGTGTAAAGAAAGTTACTCCGGTTTTAAAGATTTTAAATAAAGAAAAAGAACCCACATCAAGAAAATCTTGTATTCATATTCCCATCATTTTCCCATAATAATATGGAGTTTTCACCCAAAAAAGATGGCAACTTGTGCAAGATATGTGTATATACGACATCTATCCTCATGTAGCGTGTTTGTTCGTATGATTTTTGTCATTTTGGTGATTTCGTAATACCGTAATAGTAAAACAATAAAAGTACCCAAAAATGGTACTGAAAGGATGTTGCTATTTGAACCCTTTTTAGTTCAAATCAAAGCTTCAAAAATATACAAGAATGGCCAGGTTCAAATTCAAGGAGGAAAAAAAATCCCCTTGTGGTCACGGAGATTCAAATGCGGTGACTCCGGGCTATCTGCAAAGCAGGTGGTCGCCCTGGAATTAGTCAGCTCGCATAGCGGGTTGGATATCCAGGTTAATCAATATATATATATATATATATATATATATATATATATACACAAGAATGGCATCAAGAAAATCTTGTATTCATATTGCCATCATTTTCCCACAAAAATATGGAGTTTTCACCCAAAAAAGATAGCAACTTTTGCAAGATATGTGTATATACTACAACAACCAAGTACCAACACGTTTCGTGTTTGCATCGTTTGATTATTGTCGTTTTGTGATTTTGTAATCATCGAACAATACAAACGCCAAAAAGAAGAGTCGTGGTGTAACATGAGGATACCGAAAGGGGTGTTGCTATATGAACAACCCCGCGGTCAAATCATAGCATTGGAACTGTAAAAAGATGAGACGGATGTCAATGTGTGCGAGTATGAAACTCGTAGTGCGTTCAATATCCAATTAACGTAACACTAAGACAATTACGAGTATCGTATTGCAAGATAAGTTAGATGTTAAAATTGAGAAGAGTACCTTCAAATCATCAACATCAACTACAAGAAAGGTTATGTCTTGGAAAGCAAAGGCCAATTCTTCAAAATAGGGGTTCATGGCCACCGAGGGGATGCACCATGACGCTGTAAAATGCGCCACGACCTATAAACACAAACGCAAACAAATAAAACAAACGGTGCCAACAAGTTTAAACATCGAATAGAATCATTCAACTTGGTTGAATCATTAACTTTAGCAAGAGAAAAAGGGAAACAAAATAAAAGTGATGATCTTCTACAAGTTCTTCCATTTTACTCGAGGATGATTCAGGCCATGTTTGGCAGCCATAAGCTCGCTTATTTTTTGAGCTTATTGAAAAAGTCCAGTTTGGTTCGCTAAAGAAATAGCTTATAAGCTAGCTTTTTGAAACGTTACGTGACTTCAAGTAGCCTTTCAATAAGCTATAGAGGCATTTATCCACTTTTTCCAATTAAGCCCTTATATATTTTTCTATTAATTTGTTAACATGTCCTTTTAAGTAATTTCACTTTATCATCTAGCTTATCAACTAGTTTATACCAAACATAACTAGTTTATCAGCTAACGACAAAAGCTAGTTTGCAAACATGGCCTTGATATGATGGAACCTGAGGCTCGGAATCAGAATTCAAACTCAATCGGTGAAAAGCTATAATGATATTGAGCTGAATTCCGATTCCAAATGATGGAATCGGGATTCCAAAGTACAGTTACAGTTTGACTGAATAAATCACTTCCTTCTACACAAAAGAAACCAAAAACCCTAATAAAAGATTAAAATTTAGCAGTTTCAAGGAGCTCCAATCAGCAGTTTTATGCAACTGTTCATAAGCCAAACAAAACACTAATAACAGATTCAAATTAACAGTTTAGGGAGTAAAATTCAGCAGTTTTTGCATCAAAAAATGTGGCTGAATTGAATAAGTCCTTTGTTAATTCTACTTCAGTTCACAAAACAGATCCCTAACTATAATTAAAGATTCAGCAAAGATTCGAATTAACAGTTGCAATAATCAAGAAATCAAGAAACCCCAAGTGGAATCAGAGTTCTAAAACATACATTTAGGGGTTTGTTTGAATCAATTTCTTGGGTAAATTCTACTTTCAATCACATAATCTGTAAACCACCCAAAACCCTAAACAAAGATTCAGATCAACAGCTCAAGAAGCAACGATCAGCCATTTTTTTCAACACAAAACAATCTGTTCAATGTAAATCCGTACAAGATTTTGTTCGAATTAGGGTTTAAAGAATCCCCAAATTGAAAAACAAGAACAGAACCCCATTTTCACAGATTCTTATCAACAGTTCAAGAAGCCATGATCAGCCATTTTACAACAAGAAATCAATCTCTGCAATGGAGAATTGAACAACAACTTGACCCCATGAACCAAAGAACTGTAAAAAACTTGTGACTTGCAGAAACCCAAATGGAAAAAATCAAGATTGTGGGGAAGAAGATGCTTACAGGGGTTCCATGAGATTTAGATTCTTGAAGATAAGAATCCCATGATTCAGTTGAAGTGATCTTGAAAACTGGTTTTGGGTGGGTTTCTTTTTGGCCTTCCATTCTCTCTTTTTGGTTCTTAAAGATTCAGTGATAAATATATGAAATTATAAGTTTATAAAGAATTAAAAAGAATTTGGATAAACATAAATTGGGACCCATTTTCTGTAATTCCAATGAAGGTTTGTGGCATGGAATTGGAATCTGTGGATCTTGCACCAACCCATTTCATGAGATACTTTGATGATATACTTGATGTAATGTTCTAACTTCTAGTCAAGATATTTCAAAGATAATTTTGTTAGTTTCATTAAGAGGGTAGGTTTTGAATCGGTAAGAGGTGAATCTTATTTTGTAAAATAAAAGATTAGTTTTTTAATGGTTCTAAAATCCTCTTAATGATTTTGTATCTTAAGCCTCCCCAAACTATTCAGCCCTTTAATTTTATTGCAAAAAGTTACCAAACAGTTATATTTCATTTTAAACTATATCATGAGAGTCTCTTAATCATTCAACACCAACTCATTTAACAACTGTCAAACAACTCCTAAAATAAATTAGAAGGATATTCGTGCAATGCATCGAGACACATCCCGATTTTAACGTTTTGTTTTATTCTTAATCTATGTCGATATAATACGCTTTTATCTGGTTTTGAGAAAATGATAATATTATTAATTTTGAATAAAATATCATAAAATTTTGAAAAAACTATATCGATATTAGTATCAAATTAACCATTTAAAAGTTATTGTTTTGTGTAATTTATTTAATTCAAAAATTTTATTATAATTTCATTTAATTTAACGAAATAATTTAATTTATATTTAATAATATAAGTTTCTATAAAGATAATAATCAAGTATTCTATTAGAACTCAATAATTATCCTAATTATATTTTAGATTTTTATATTTAAAATGAGATGTTTATCTTGTATATGATTATGTTTTCCTGCAGTTAGTTACACAAATTCAAACATGGAGCTTTAATAAGTTGTACTTACGCACAATTTACTTGTAATATTTAATTTTAAGTAATATACGTCAATAAGCATTACTTCGTACATAAAAATTGGTTTTTAAGAGTTTTTGTCAAATGTTTTATAATATAATATGGATGAAACATAATTTTTTTTTACTCTAGAATAATCAACATAAAATATAAATTTAATTTTTATTCCAAAACATCTTAAATAATTGTTTCTAAAAAATTAAATCTGTTAATTAATTAAATTGTTTATAAAATCAAATTCTATATTAAGATAGGACAAATTGCATTAAAAAATTATGTATTTTAACTTGATTTCTATTATATTATATGTAACATACCTTCAAAACTTATATTTTAATACATAAGATAAAGTTTTAAACATTTAAGTACCTGGATAACAGGTTGAAACATTAACTCTTTCTTTTAATAAACCACAATACATAAAAACTAATTTTAGATTAAGATATTCATGTCAGCAAATAATATTGGGTTTGATACCACATCAACATGCTTCAACCAGTTACCGGGTATTTAAATGTTTAAAACTTTACATCTTAGGTATCAAATTGGAAGTTCTGAAATTAAAGTACGTTAATTTTTCATGCAATTTACCCGTTAAGCTATAATATCATATGAATATATCTAAATCAAATTGATTTATTGAGTTTAACAAATTATTGGTAGAAAGCAGTTTTGAGCACACGGTTTTGTGTCTGAAAAACAACTCGATTTTTATTTGATAGATTTTGTTATAAAATTGTGATGCTTTTTGAAAGCAACTACACATCAAGTTGTACCTTAAAATATAGTTATTAGAATTATCTTTAAAATCATTTATATATAAAAACTATAATTTCTTTTATATAATTTATGGTGATGTGGTGGGTGATGTGGTATCCAACTCAGTATTATTTGCTGACGTGGTTAGTGACATGAATTTTTTTTAATCTAAAATTAGTTTTCAACAGGTTATCCGGGTACTTAAATGTTTAAAACTTTACATTTTTAGGTATCAAAATAGAAGTATTGAAAGTATGTTATCCAAAATAGGAATCAAGTTAAAGTATGTTACTTTTTCATGCAACTTGCGCTATATATTTAACAAAATATTTCTTTCCATTTAGGCATTTTTAGGGCACTAACTCTTTTATATATTTCTTGTTGGAAGTACCCCTCATCTCATTAATAACGAGTAGGCCCAAAAAATTCGATGCGAGTAGTCGACGAACATATTCCAACTAATTCCCAAAAAATATAAATTCGTATCAAATTTGAACCAGTAACTAATCCCAACATAGAAGTGTTCTCTCTCTCTCTCTCTTTCTCTCAATATCCAAACTCTGTTTTCTCCATTTAAAATAGGGTTTTTCTAACTCCACCCCCTCCTATAGATGCATGTGAGGGGGATGTGATTGTGTAGGGGGGTGAGTATGTGAGGGTGAGAGTGAGGAAAAGTTGTGAGGGTGTGAGTGAGGGTTGGTGTGAGGAGGAGGGGGTGAAAAGTGATGTAAGGGGGTGGGGATATCAACCCAGTATTTTCAATAGGTTATTTTAAGGGGGTTGATATCCCCACCCCCTTACATCACTTTTCACCCCTCCTCCTCACACCAACCCTCACTCACACCCTCACAACTTTTCCTCACTCTCACCCTCACATACTCACCCCCCCTACACAATCACATCCCCCTCACATGCATCTATAGGAGGGGGTGGAGTTAGAAAAACCCTTATCACTCCCTTATGATGACTTTCTACCCCCTATCAAATGTTCCCCTCTCACACACCATCTCCCTCACATATCACTCTCTTCACACACTCACACCGATTCACTTTTTTTTAATTTTAAAAATTTAAATATACATTTTATACTCTTATAATTAGTTAATTAATTTAATTTACGTCTTTTATTTTAAATTTTTCATTTTATACCCTGATCAAATTAACAAACATAATCGTATATCAATTAAAATATGTTTAAAAAATTCGTTTTAATTTTAACAAGTTACACCATCATAATTGTCGCGTCAATACCTTCGAAATAAGCTCAATATTGAATATTTTTTGACTTAATTATATTATTATATATTATGAAAAAATATTTTTAATATTTACATTTATAGTTATTTATTTAATTTATGATATGTCATTTGTTTTTTCAATTTTTGTTTTACATCATTATCACATTAAAA